GGCTCCACGCACCCGTGCCGGGGGAGGGCTAGCCTCGTGACACTAGATCTGGTGCGAGAGGTGCCTCTGCGCGAAGCCGTTTCTCTCGCCCTGTGATTCAGGGGAATCGTTTCCTAGGCCCTCACGCAGACCCACTGAAAGTGTTGCCACCCTCGGGAACCGTGATGCTGTCTACAGTACGGTCCCTCTCCACTGCTGTTAGCTAGTGTTCGGTCACTCTACAGCCTGGCTTCTCCGGGCTAGTGCTTAGGTACCCAGTTCTCCAGGCAGGCCCTCAGGGGAGAGCAGTGCTAAGCTCCTCACACAAGAGAGGGGTTGAGAGAGTAGCCTTCCTTACAGGCCTGTTTCTCGGTCAGAGTCGCGTTTAGGTTCCATCACTACTTCTATGCTAAAGGAGTATTTGTTGCATTGATGAATGCTGGCCATCAGACGCACAAAATCCATGGAATATAAGATTCTAATTTAAGTGCCACATTAAAATACTAGAGCAATTCTGAGGAGAAACTAAGAGTAATCAAGGAAAGCTTTTGTGCCTTCCTAAATGAGAGAACTTCCTGTGCTTAGAACTACTTGCGTGTAAGGCCTTGCTGGCATTAGGGCATCTGGAGTCTGAGAGTGGAAGCCAAAGCGGAAATGGCTGACAGAGTCTGGAGAATCAGGAGGAGCAGGTGAAATCTGGACTCTTAAATTTATAAACTATGTTTAAGAACTGACTGGAAAAACAGTTCATAATCTTGGTAGAAAAGAAAATGGTACATTATGTAATTTTATCTGGGCTAGGGACAAAGAGGATCTAACATTTACTTTAACAGAGCACTCGTGAAGTTGTTTTGAACAGTAGTGACTATTGCAAAGAATCTAAGGGATGAAATTTGGGGAAACTTGCCACAAGCTGCCAGTGAAAAGAGTGAAAAGACTCTACTCACACAAAATGGCCCCCATAAAACCAGGTCGGGGGTTTCTGTTTGGGGAGGGGCATGGTTACACGACAATGCTATCTATTTGGCTGTGTAGGAATTTTTGTCCTGAGCTGTGAATTTAGTTCAAAGCCAAAAACTGAAGGGCCGGGATAACCCCCTCTATTTCCCTCCATTCAGAGGAAGACCTGATAAAAACTTGAGGGGTTTTGTGTCTAGGATAAGAACTTCCACCCTTCACCATTTGAGTTTGCCTTTCAAGAGTCATTATGAAATGGGGCCATTTACATCAAAATCACAGTTCTGATTCTGGTTCTTCCTTTCAGCAAAATGAGGTAGCTTTACATTTAGAGGACTGTGGTAACACATGTAGCATTTGGTGTTTAGGTTTAGATTAATACAGTCTAATGCAATTTTGTAGTTCCAATAAAAGGGTTTTAACCCAGTAATATAATAGCCTACATAAGTAACAAACATCAGAAATATAACTAGCGATTTTTGAGTTTAAAAAGTTATTTTAGGGAGGGAGGGGGCTGAGGGAGAGGGACAGGGAATCCAGGCGGAATCCAGGCAGACTCCGAGTTCAGCCCGGAGCCCGACCTGGGACTTGATCCCATGACCTGAGCCACCTGAGCTGAAACCAAGAGTCGGATGTTCAACCACCTGCACAACTCCGGTGCCCCAGCAATTTCTTTTTTAAGCTATATTTTACAAATCATTTATTGCTTCAAAAAGAGAATGGACACCAAAATGCTTTGCATTTAAAAACTTAACTAATTTGAGTCACTTTTATTTATTATTTTCCAAGTTTTGGCACCCAAACTTGGCAAACATCATGGAGATCTGTACAAACATGCATATACATATATACACTCACATATTTAAGTTTAAAGCCTCAGTTCCTCAAACCTTGTACTCAGGCTCCTGTTAAAAAGAGGGAAAGGGGTGAGAAGAATCAGGGAAAACATGAAAAAATCCCAATTGACAACTTCCTTATTGTTACGAATTAAAGCTGGCATTTTAAAGTAAAATCCATCACCTTACTAAAACTTCCACTAAGCTACAGCCTCAGATATTAAATAAACAGCCCCATACACACTTCAATGTGGTTTAATGACAAGATGGCTGAGGATTTGTTTTGTTATTTCAGGTAAAAGTTAATATTTCAGTGATTAAAATTTCAGGTGTTAAAAACTAACTACAAGCAAGGTCATCATTATACTCTGAAGCTGAATTCTTCTACAGCCGCTTGTCTTTAAATTACTATGCAAATCCAAGACAGTAACATTCAGGCTTTTTATAATTAAAATACTAATGTTTGGTGACTAAAGAGTAAACATGATTAGTTTACTCTAGGTCGTTTGATTTTATTTTTCTCTGTAGGAGCTTTCCTCTTCTGTGATAATCCAGGCCCAGGTTCCTTATTATTCGGAAGAAATGAAATCGCTTCTGGCAGACAGTAATTTTCTACTTGAGGAGGGGATTCCTATAAAAGGGAAAAACATTGTTCATTTTTCCTTGACTGTGCTTTTTAACCAGAAAAAAACTTGAAATTTGTCTTTTAAGGTATGCTACTTAGCACTTATCACATTTAGGGAACAGAACCTGTGTGACAAAATCTCACCTTTTATCAGAAAAATAAATTTATAGCTCAGGTGGAATGGGGCCAGCTCAGATCTTGATAATGGTTTCATTTGTAAAAAGGTATGGTTAAGAAGTGACACCTTATACTTAGTGTCGATTTTTAAAAATATTTAAACATGTGAGGTAGGTGTTTTTTTATTTTACAGATAAGATAAAAAAAGGTTAAATAACATATAACTAGCAGGAGTTAAAGCCAAAATTCATACATTGCCTCTAAAACCCTTAAAATTCTCTTCCTCACAACCATATTCCAACCCAAAACGACCTTTCCCTCATTAAAAGTGTGATAAAAATTTTCTAGCAAGATGGCAGACTGGAAAACATGAAAATGAATCACCATAAAATACTGAGTAAGTGCCTTTTGATTCAACTCTTCCCTGGATGACAACTTCCGACCCAAATATATTAAAAGCAACTACCCCAAGACACTGGAGAGGAAATGAGATCAGGCAAATACCAAAGGGGTTGACACTGGGTAGGGAGTGAATTTCTCTTCATTTTTGTTTTTGTTGTAAGGAGAAGTCTGTATTATAAGGGCCAAGTCACAACAGAAAACATGTAGTAATGGCCTGAAACCACAGCCACTGGAAAATGAGGTGGGAAATCCCAGGAGGGAGCAGGGGAAGCCTCAAACTGGGGTATGAAATCTGCCCAAATCTTTGCCCTCTCACCATGGATGTGCAGAGGCGGCTCAAGTAAGGCTAAAGCTTTGATCCCGCACTCACTGCAAAAGGTGCCTGTTAAGCAAACAGAATGGCATTCCCTAAGGAACGTAACAGAATCTAGTTTTTACAACTTAGACGCATGCAAATTACTCCACATCTGAAGAACATGACCCATTCTCAAGAAAAAACAATCAGAATCCAAAAACCCAATAAAGATCTAAAACTTGTATGTATTGAAAATTACAAAATGTTCATGAAAGAAATCAAAGACGACTTAAATATGCTGTATTCATGGACTGAAAGACTGAACATAGTGAAGATGTCAATTCACTTAAATTGATCTGTAGGTTTAATGTGATTCCTATCAAAATCGTAGCAAGATGTTTTCATAGGCATATAAATAAGCTTATTTAAAAACTTAAAAGGTATAGACCCTAGAAAAGCTAAAAGGATCTTGAAAAAGAAGAGTAAAGAGGAATCGCTACCTAATATCAGATATAAGAAGAAAGATGCTATTGCAGAGGGAAAGACCTAGATCAATAGACGCCCAACATATGCCAAACTGAATTTTGACAAAGGTGTAAAAGCAACTAAGTGGAGGACGGTTCTTTTATGGTGGAGCAATTGGACATTCTGAGTGACCTAAACTTCACACCTTCTGTGAAAACCTCACACCTCATGACATTTATGAAGCACACCAAAGGCATTCACTCTTGACTAGCCATTATGGAACTGCAAATTAAAACCACAATGAGAGATTACTACATACCAACTGAAATGGCTAAAAAAAAGTGACAAATGCCAATAAGGATACAGAAAAACGATCACTTATAACAGTGGTAGGAATGTAAAATATGACCACTCTGGAAACACACTTAGGAATTTATCCCAATGCAATGAAATCTTATTTCCACATAAAATATGTGCAAAAAATGTTCATAGCAGCTTTAGTCATAATAGCCCCAAAGTAGAAACAACCCAGATGTCCTTCAATAGGCTAATAGTTAAGCTGTAGATCTCAACTGTTCAATAAAAAGTAATAAAATCACTGATACAAGCAACACCTGAATGATTCCGAAGGGAATCTTGCTAAAAAAAAAAAAGCCGGGGCGCCTGGGTGGCTCAGTCGTTAAGCGTCTGCCTCCGGCTCAGGTCATGATCCTGGAGTCCCGGGATCGAGTCCCACATCAGGCTCCCTGCTCAGCGGGAGGCCTGCTTCTCTCTCTCCCACTCCCCCTGCTTGTGTTCCTGCTCTCTCTCTGTCAAATAAATAGATGAAATCTTTAAAAAAAAAAAAAAGCCAATCCGAAAAGATTACACACTATATTGATTCCATTTAAGATTTAAAGATACTGACAACAGATTAGTGGTTGACAGGTGTAAGAGACTGCTGGGAGAAGAGAATGAAGGGAAGGAGGTGGGTGTAGTTAAAAAAAAAAAGGCAAAATGAATGATTGCTGTAGTGATAGATTGTTCTGTATCTTGACTGTGGTGGCAGACACATGAAGCAGAAGTGGGGAAATTGGGGGCGCCTGGGTGGCTCAGTTGGTTAGGCGACTGCCTTCGGCTCAGGTCATGATCCTAGAGTCCTGGGATCGAGTCCCACATCGGGCTTCCTGCTCAGCAGGGAGTCTGCTTCTCCCTCTGACCCTCTTCCCTCTCCTCTCTCTCAAATAAATAAAATCTTAAAAAAAAAAAAAAAGTGGGGAAATCGGAATAAGTTTGGATTGCATCAGGTCAATATCCTGGCTGTAATACTGTACTATATTGTTGCAAGATATCATCCCCTGGGGGAAACTATTATTTCTTACAATTGCATGTAAAGCTACCGATTACCTCAAAATAAAAGCAGTCTTGCTCATGACCCAGATGTTGGAAATAGTAGACAATGATACCAAAGCAGCTCTTATCCTTGAGATGAGTGAAATGAAAAAGTAGAAAAATAGAAACTATAAAAAAGAACTGATTCTAGATATAAAAAAATTTAATATCTAAATAAAAAAATCTCCTGTAAGAGCCTTAGAATGAAAATAACAGGAAAAAAATCAGTGAAGTAATAAATAGGAATTAGTCAGTCAGAAAACACAGAAAGTAAATATGGCCTGAAGGACCTGAGGGAGGGACCTGTGGGACAATATCAAAAGGTACGAGTGATTAAATTCCCATATAGACAGGAAAGAATGGAGAAGTAATTGTCAAAATTTCTCAAGTTTGGTGAAAGAGAGAAATTTACAGATTGAAGAAGCTCTGCAGAAAAAGCAGGATTAATATAAAGAAACTACACCTGGAAGTATCATAAATGGTGAAAATCAAAGATGAAACAGCCAGAATAAAAAATGAGACACTGCACTGCATACAGGAGAAGAAATCAAATTACCACTGACTTCTCAGAAATAATGGAGGCCAGCAGAAAGTGGAGTCTTTAGTAAAAAACACTATCAACCCTAAATCCTATGCCCTACAAAAAGATCCTTCAGGCATAATGGTAAAATAGACACTCTCAAATAAAAGAAAACTAGAATTGGTCCCATCAGACTTATACTACAAATCAAAGTTTTGGGCTGAAGGAAAACTGATACCAGATAGGATAAATATAAGACTGTATTTTTCCTTTTAATTTCCTCAAAATACATAGGACTGTTTAAGCAAGTTTTGCTTTATGGCAGAACACTGTTCTGTGGAGCTGTAAGAGACAATGGAAAATATACAAGTCTACAGAAAGTTTGCTGGCCCCTGCTTTACGTTGAAGGACCAGACACTAAATATTTCAGGCTGTGTGGGAGAGATGGTTTCTGTTGCAATTACTCAGCCTAGTGTTGCACTGCAAAAGCAGAAGAGAGAACATGTAAATGAGTGAATGGAGCTGTGTTCCAGTAAAACTTTGTAACACAGGCAGTGGAGAGGGTTTGGCCTGTGGGCTACAGTTTATTGGCCCCTGGTTTAAAGGATAGGGGAAGTAAAGGAACCTATATGAGTGTAAGATTTCTACATTCCATGTGAAGTGGCACAATATCATTTTAGCTAGACTATAAAAAGTTAAGTATATTATAATCCATAGAGCAAAACACACCCTGCCTCCAACAAAAAAAGGCAAGAAAGAAAGAACACAGGAACAAAGACAAATTGAAAACTGCAAAAAAAAAAAAAAACCCTAAATCCAATCATATCAATAATTACACGATGGACTAAACATTCTAAAGAATAAAAAAACCCAACGATACCCTTTTTAAAAGAAAGCCATTTCAAATATAAAGGAAAATTCCATTTACAATTGCATCAAGAATAAAATAGGGACAAATTTAATCAAGTAGATAAAAGACTTGTACACTGAAAACTAGACGACATTGGGGCGCCTCAGTGGCTCAGTCTTAAGCGTCTACCTTCGGCTCAGGTCCTGGGATTGAGCCTTGCATTGGGCTGCCTGCTCGGCGGGAAGCCTGCTTCTCCCTCTCCCACTCCCCCTGCTTGTGTTCCTGTTCTTGCTATTTCTCTCTCTGTCAAATAAATAAAATCTTAAAAAAAAGAAAACTAGGCAACACTGATGAAATAGAAGATGACACAAATAAATGGAAAGATATTCCATGCTCATGGACTGGAAAAATTAACACTATTAAAATGTCCACACTACCCAAAGCAATCCACAGATTCAATGCAATCCCTATCAAAATTTCAATGGCATTTTTTCTAGAAATAGAACAATCCTAAAGTTTGTATGGAATCACAAAGACTCCAAATAGCCAAAGCAATCTTTTTTTTTTTTTTTTGAGTTATTTATTTTTTGACAGAGAGACACAGTGAGAGAGGGAACACAAGCAGAGGGAGAGGGAAAGGGAGAAGCAGGCTTCCTGTGGAGCAGGGAGCCTGATGCAGGGCTCGATCCCAGGACCCTGGGATCATGACCTGAGCCGAAGGCAGACGCTTAATAACTGAGCCACTCAGGCACCCCTAGCCAAAGCAATCTTGAGAAAGGAGAACAAAGCTGGAGGCATCATGCTCCCTGATTTTAAACTGTATTACAAAACTATGGTAACCAAACAGTATGGTACTACCACATACACAGACACACAGATCAAGAGAACAGAACAGAAAACCCTGAAATAAACCCAGGCATACTCGATCAATTACAAAGGAGCCAAGAACATACAAAAGGAAAAGGACAGTTTCTTCAATAAATGGTGTTGGAAAAACTAGACAGCTACATGCAAAAGACTGAAACAGGACCACTATCTTATACCATACACAAAAATAAACTCAAAATGGATTAAAGATTTGGATGAAAGACATGAAACTATAAAACTAAAAGAAAATATACGTCATGAGCTCCCTGACATTGGTCTTGGTAAAAATTTTTTGGATTTCACACCAAAATGAAAAGAAACACAAGCAAAAATTAACATGTGGGGAGACATCAAATTAAAAAGCTCATGCATAGTAAAGGACACCATCAGCAAAAGGAAAGGCAACCTAAGAAAGGGAGAAAATATTTGCAAATCATCTATCTGATAGGGGTTAATATCCCAAACCATGTGATTAAAAAATGGGCAGAGATCTGAATAGACATTTTCCCAAAGACACAGATGGTCAACAGGTATACGAAAAGGTGCTCAACGTCACTAATCATCAAAGAAATGCAAATCAAAATCATAACAAGATATTACCTAACACGTTAGAATAGCTGTTATCAAAAAGACAAGTGTTGATGAGGATATGGAGAAACGAGAACTCTTGTGTACTTCTAGTGGGAATGTAAACTGATGCAGCCATTATTTTTTTTCCTCAAAAAATTAAAAATATAACTACCTTAAGAGTACACTTAGTTCGATGAGCACTGAGCAATTGTTGAATCATTATATTGCACACCTGAAACTAATAACACTATGTTAAATACAATCTTAAAAAAAAGGAACCTTATGATTCAACAGTTCCAACCTCTTTGTATTTATCCAAAAGAAATAAAAACATTAATTCAAAAAGATATCTGCTCTATGTTCACTGCAGCATTATTTACAATAGCTAAGATATGAAAACCTGAGTGTCCACTGACAGATGGATAAAGAAAATTCACACACACACACACACAATGGATTAATCAGCCATAAAAAAATATTTCAGCCAAGGAAACCCTGCCAACTGCAGCAACATGGATGGACCTTGATGGCATGATGCAAAGTGAAATAAGTCAGAAAAAGACAAATACTAGATGATTTCACTTACAAGTGGAACCTAATATAAAAAACGGGCGCCTGGGTGGCTCAGTCAGTTAAGCATCTGCCTTCGGCTCAGGTCATGATCCCAGGATCCTGGGACTGACTGCCGCATCGGGCTCCCTGCTCAGTAAGGAGCCTGCTTCTCCCTCTTGCACTCCCCCTGCTCGTGTGCTCTCTGTCAAATAAATAAATAAAATCTTAAAAAAATAAAAAAAAAAAACAAAAACCCCAAATGAGATAGATACAAAGAACTGACTGGGGGTTGCTAGATGCAGGGTGTGAGGGCTGGGGGAAATGGGTAAGGGTGAACAAGAGGTACAAACTTACAGTTATAAAATAAGCCCTGAGGATATAATATACAACATGGTGACTGTAGTTGTTAATATTGTATGGTATATTTGAAAGTTGGTAAGAGACTCAATCTTGGGAGTTCTTATCATAAGAAAGAAAATCTCATTATGTATGGTGATAATTTTGCATATATAGTCATGAATACATACAACTCTTATGCTGAACATCTGAAATTAATGTCATATGTCATTGTATCTCAAAAAAAAAAAGGTGGCCAGATTCCTCCTTCAGGCAGACTGGAAGATTCCTCTTTGGATAAACTGAAACAATTCAAGAAGTATATGCAAGTATGAACCAGACGACAGTCCCCAACAATTAGACCACAAAGACTATTGCATCCGGATCAAAACTGCCAAGACCCAACTGTGTGCTCAGTACTTCCAATCAGCTTAGACAAAGACCAAAACAAAGAGGAAAATGCAGTTTAGTGGATAGAGAATATACCGAAATAAGTTAAAAAAAAAAAATCAATAAATCCTCTGAGATCCAGTAGAAGGTATTACATCTATGAAGCAAAAAAGATATTAAAAAATTAAAATGTAAATTCAAAAAACTTTTAAAAAGGTCCTGATTATTAAAAACATGATAGCAAAATGAAGAGCTGATAAAAGGAGAAGACTGAACTGAGGGAACCTCTCAAAAAGTGAAGATTATAAAAATAGTGGTGAAATAAGAAGATCCAATATACAAGTAGCAGAAGTACTAGAGAGAACAGAAAGTGGAGGGAAAAAAAATCATCATTGAAATAATTCAAGATTTCCCAGAACTGAAAGACACAAGTTACCAAACCAGAAGAGGCCTACCATGTGCAGTATAATAAAAAGAGACCCTCATGATAGCCTATCATTTTGAAATTTCAGAAAACTAGGGACAAAAAGAGCTTCCTACTAGATTAGTTACATATAACAGATTATTAATCAAAATGGCTTTAACTACTCAACAGCAACACTAGAAGCAAGGAGATAAGCAATCAAAAGTCTAAGGAGAAAATAGGTTCCAACCTAGAATTTGATGCCCATCTAAACAATAAAAGAAATGCAATCACAGAAAAAAAGAATTTTCACACAAAGAAAATCTCAGTTTATCTCCCATGTGCTTTCTCAAGAAGTTACTATAAGAACACCTTCAACCAGATGAGAGCAGATCAGGATGACATGGGATATAGAAACAGGAGATGCAACAGAGAAGAGAAAGGATGATGAATGGAGATCCTGGGATGACACCAGTTTGTAGAAGTAGAGGGTGACCATCCAGATTGGAGCAGTATGGCTAAGGACATGTTGAAGGCTTTCATCACCAAGATCCCTGCAGCCACTGCACCCAGCTTTTCA